GCTGATGTTTCTATTACTGAGACACAAACGACCATTTTTCAACCTACTACTGCTGTTTCTGAGGCAAGGACAGTTTTAGTTGCTATTGTCACTACTGCTGAGACAGCAACAACTGTAGTGGCTGAGACAACAACCCTGGCTGATACTCCAACAGAAGCAGAACGAAGTAGTACAGCTGCTGTGACAACACTGTTAGAGACAACTCCAAGTGATGTCCCCTCAACGGAGACACAAACAACCACATCTCAAGAAACAACTGTAGTTGGTGAGACAAGAACCGTGGTGAAGACAACTATGGCTGATGTCACCACAGCGGATACACAAACAACCACAGCACAACCAAGTACTCCAGCTGCTGTGACATCTTTAGTAGCAGAGACAACTGTGGCTGATGTCACAACAGAGACCCAAACAACCACAGTCAAACGAACTACTGCAGCTGTTGAACCAACAGTGGTAGAGACTACTGCAGGAGATTTCAGCACTACAGAGACGCAAACAACCTCTGGAGGATTCCCAACAACAACAGCCATTGAGAAAACTACTATTGGTGTTTCAACCCCTTCTGTTTCAACAGGTTTGTTTTTCTTAGATTTTTGTGTGAAATTGCTTGATGTTTTGTCATTGAAATCTTAGAAACTCTTCTGTGTTGTGTGGTATTGTGTGGAAGTGTCATTCAGGTGTGAAGCTTTCTAAATACACGAATCAATGTTGATCTTCACAAATTGTTTTAAGAATTGTTTTCTTGAATTATTATTGAAAATGAAATCGAGAGCCCATTAGAATTATTTATTTCTAACCTTCAAAAGCTATCTGAAAGCTATTGTATGATTGGTGTGAGAACCCTTTAAGATTTTAAAAGTTCTACTTTCTCTGCACATATCTTAATGATTATAATGCTTTATTTGGCCAAGGGTGGATCCAGGGATGCTATACATCTCAGTAGCCCCTTTTATTCAAGTAGAGGAGCCAATTTCTTTATGGGAAGGTCGGGTCTATTTTATATTTATTCGTTCCATAAGCATGTAAAAAGCCTGACAATAAATCCTCACCCTGAGGGAGGGAATGAGAGGTTACTTGAGATATTTTCTGGGCTCCCAAAAACAAGTTTGGCTGTCCCATCCCCGAAATTCAGTTATTGATCCACCCTTGTGTTTGGTAGTCGGGCCTCTGTTACTTGTAATAACCCATTAATATTTTCAGTTCTTGGGCATAATCTGCACTCTTGTGACCTCTTTAAACCACAATTGTAACTGGTCATTTGCGTAAAATATTTGTTTTGTCTGTATATGTGATCGTTTTAAGTGTATTTGGTATGGTTGTTTGTGTGAAAGGTCTGTGCATTGATGTTGATTTCATCCGTATATATCGCTGTATTGATAGGGTTAATTCAGTTTTAGGGAGAAGGGAGTGTATAGGAAGAAAATGTCTCGCCTATATTCCATTACGTAAAATAGTCCTAGGATATCAATTTAAATTAGGAGTTTGAGATATCTATGTGTGTCTTTTCTTTGTTATTACACTGTTGTAGGTGGTATTGTGTTACTTCAGTTGTGCTGCAATAGACACATTATTTCCTCGCACGTGCTTCACTCCATATTCACTTCTTTTCCACTGCACAGTTGTTTCTTTCCATGAATGCTTATCAAAGTTCTTGCAGTTCTTGAGGGAAGGCTTTTTAGTTGCATCTTTCCTTTACACTAAGCTGTTTTTGCTGTTTTTCAATAGACAAAACAGCACGATAACAGTACAGTTGCTGTAAACATTCTATAACCCTCCCTTTGAAACACCTATCACAATAACTACCAAAACGTATGGGATTGTCAGTGCAATATTTTGAAGACTACACGGAAGGTACCATTATAGTTCTGTTTTTAGGTTAGGAGGCATTGAAATCTCATTTACATGTTCTTCACTATTAAGCAAACATTGTATGTAGGTTTGCACAGGTATGTCCCCAAGTACATATGGAACGTAATACACCCTATCAATTTCCGAAATGATTATGCACACATTATCAACATTTTTGGTGTGACGGAAGGTACGGTAAGTAAAGAACTAACCTACATTGAATTTTGCACTGCAGTACTTGCGTACTTATTTTTATTCCTAAAAGAATGTTACTGACCTTGTATTTGTGCACATGTGCGACATGATATGTTTATCTTCTGATACGCTACATGTGCACAATGGTCTGATGTATCTGTAGTATTATGCTAACTTTCACTAGGTTGTCTCGCAAAATGGTGAAATGGAGCTTAAAGCCCCGTGTTCATCACTTGCAGTATTTGCTTCGATGGCACGCATTTTGTATTCCTATACTAACTACGACCCAAATGAAATTTTGTATAAGACATTTTCCATTATCCGTATCAAAAGCACACGTTTAGAACTTTCGGTCATGGGGGCCCATTTAGCTTAATTTCCCACCGTGGGTTATCCACGAATTACCAACCGTCGTTTGCGCACATTGGTCTACAAAAATTGTCGTTAAATAAACTGAATTTTGAAAGTTTGAGTAAAATCCTATGCGGAATATATCTAAAAACACGGATGTCGCCGAAGCGACAAGAACACCGACGTCCGCAAACAAGTCGGATCGGCTGTAGTAAACCTTAGCCTACGTCATAATAATTCGCGCACAAACATTTGCAAACGTCATTTCATTGGGTTATCGGTGATTCCCTACTATTAAAAAGCTGCCAGTTGGTGTCTCTTGAATGATGGCTAATTTTTTAGCATTGTGATGTGGTTGGGAAAAAATTCACTCGCCATATTTTGACTTTCCAGCACTTCCTCTTTCTCGTCCTCCCTCCCTTTTCGAAAATTTCATTTCAAGTTGCAGTGAGGCGTGGATTTTTTTTCAAATGAATCATAATGAGCACTGATTTGAGTAATTGATGTGGATGGTATGAATAGAATTTCTCATTCTACGTGTACTTCTGAAAAAAGCCATACAAAACAGTGTCGTCGGATCTGCGCCTGTTGTCAGCAACGAAAATCTCACAATACATGTAGAGTGGTATTCGACAACCAGAATTAGACGCCATTACTGCGGTGGTACAACGCTAGTGGACAGGTGATACGCGCGCGTTACGTAACTCTTCGACCAATATGTGTCGTGAATTGCCAAATGCAGCTGAAGAATGTGCATATGAGTGCCGTGCCATCGCAGTTATTGCGTCCAATCGGATTAGTCTATAAGGTGCGTATCAGGCTCCATATTTGATGACGCCCTAAATAGCCTGTGAACGTCGATCGAAGAGTCATTTAGTGTCTGTACTGGACGTCCTACGCCAATCTTGAGCGAACATTTGGTATTTCTAGAGTGTAAAGTAAAACTGTATGCTCTCCTGACGTTTTTTCCGAATTTTCACAGCAGCGTTCTCGACGGCCGGAAAATTTGGCGGGGTGGTAGACAAAATTGAGAGCGCAAAGCGCGAAGCCCTGAACGGCGCTGGGTCCGGGGCCCTGGAAATTTTGGATTCCAGATGCTCTGTGGTGCATTCTGGGGCAATTTCCAGTCCACTTTCGTCTGTAATTTGTCCCCAAACCTGATTGCATTTACAACGTGAAATATTGGCTAGGATATGCTTCAGGAGGAGTTTCTTCATCGAAATATTCGATGGCGAAAGCCAACGATCACCATTGTCAGTACACCTTAGTACGTCATAAGCGTCGATCTACAAACTGCGGTAAACCCCTTTTTATTAAGATCTTGAGAAAGTAGACATTTGGGGGAAAATACGCTAATCAAAAAAATAGCAGGGTGGCACAAATTTTAGCAGGGCGGCAAAATGTTAGCGGGGCGGCCCAAAATTTTGGCAGGGCGGTCCGCCCTGCTAAAACAGCCCGTGGAGAACACTGCACCGGAAAAGTCTTTAATTTGCATAGCCGCAAAAAATGCGAAAAAGGCTATCGATCATCGATAGTTCACGTCAGTGCATAATTTCGTTTAAGGGTTTCACGACGAGAAAGTTAGATGTGCGAGTATTTGTATGCGCGAATTTAGGGCACTCAACCATAAATGCTCTAATTGAGCTAACTAAAAACTAAAGTGTGTGACATAATGAAACATAAGGACATCAAGCTTTTTTAAGTCCAACCTGGTCAAATATATTGCTGTAGATTATTTCTCCGAATTGGCAATGGGTTGAAAAAGGCCCAAACATGCATTCCGTGATTTAATGGGAATGTTGCCTAAGAATCTTAATTAAAGATGGGCCGCTTTTCACTGTTGTAAATTCCTTTTTTATTAGGACAACCCTTTCAATTTTGTGCCGTACTGTCCAATGATTAACAAAGGTTGCACCCATTTACTAATCAATTACTCCCTTTTCTGCTCAGAAAGTGTTAAAATGATGTTTCATTTTAGGTGCTTTGCCTTTCGTTGACATAATACTGTGTAGGCCCACGAAGTGTTACCTGAAGGCTTGTGAAAAATCACCTCAGGACTGGAACCTATGATCTCCTTTCCAGTGGAGACGTCTTATCACTTGATCACCACGCTTGCTCGGGTGGGCTGGTCCCTTCAAGTATAATGAGCACCGGGTACCGCGGTTATACGGAAGGGCCACTTGCAAAAACATTTTTTCTCGCCGCGGCGAGTTAGCTAAAACCAGTTCAACTCGCTGCATATTAAGACCCAATGATTCCAACTACTCTTCTTATCAAGGGTCCTGTATCACCCAATGTCTACGTGATCAACACTCCCCCATATTCCCGGGAATAGTCGAACCATTCTGAACTTTGCTGTTCGTATTAAATTCCGTTTAACGTCAACACTTTTCTTTAATGCTCCTCAAAACTGTAAAATTGTTACAAAGATTGAAATTGGTAGCCAAATGAAAGGGGAGAGGAAAAAACCATTCGGATGGTATCGTTAATATTCGGGCATTTCTGGCTGCGTCTGCACCAAGAATTTTTTGAACTGTCTGAGGTATACCGGTCGGAGTACGCCATCCACTACAAAGTAGAATAAGGGTAAAAAAAATTGGAACATGTTTTTGTTAAATTGATTGCATTTTAGCTTTAAATTTAATGTGTTTTCATTTTTTAAAAGCTCGTATTTTAGAAGTTTAGGATATGATATTTTTCAAAAACTGAACAAAATCGTATCTCATTTCATCGAGTGAATTTTTAAAGAGCGAATGAATTTTTATATACGCAACGTAATCTCTAGGATTGAATGAAATTTATTCTTAAAAAAATGGCACAAAACCTTTTCAATGGAAACTTTTTGTCGAAATCGTCGGAATTTAGAAATTATCTGATCCGACAAAGCATCCAAATTGCGAACGAATCCAAAACGGCGTACAAAAGTATTCGATCTTTTAGACGGTATTATGCGAAAGCCTCATAGTGCGTCAAGCATAATTTTTCGAAAGGTGAAGCATAATTTTCGAAGGTTGTCTAAACGAAGTTTTCACAAGATGCTTTTATCCGTGGTTGCTTATTAATTTGGATTTAGTTTAATTGGATGCGTCTCATTTAGGATTGCATGAGATTTTGAGAAAATACGTGCACCTAATAGCTGCTTTAGTCAGTTCAGTCTATCTGAACAAATATTTTATTACG